GGTAAGAGATTTCACCAAACTCACACAGTGTTAGCATCAGTCCTCAAGCAGGGGGAAATCAACCACAGGACTTCAATTCAAAGCTTTGTTCAGAAAAGCATAATGGTTTGTAATAGCCATGTGATCTGTCTAATGCAAAAATGCGACTATTTAAAAAATCCATTCCGTGTGAATACAATGATTACAATCTTCAAAACTCAGTGTAAAAAGGTTTATTTGACCTGATATATATATATATATATATATGGCATAAGAATAAGATTAATTTCTATATTTTCCTCATTTGTTAGTCAATAAAGGCACACACCACGTTGCTGTTCTACTGCTCAGCCCGCTTGTTCCACATGCAGAAGCAGCCTGTGCGTGTGCACACACGCACTGTGGTGGCGCTCACATCCCCGCTGTCCCCATCTGGAAGAAGTGACTGCAGATACAGTTCCCATGCCTGGAAGTGCTGCTCTAATGCTGCGTTCAGCACGTCAGGGCAGTTTGCACAGGAGCCACTTAAGATGTCAAAACAACAACGTTCAAACTGCCGTTCCTGGGGGACACTGAAGAGCATGACGAGATGATAAAGAATCTTCTTTTCTAAGCATAAATGTCTGCAATCATCACAAGGGACATGGCCAAAGTTCATTAGCTTTTGAAAGCATTCCATAAACGAATGTTATAGATTCTCTGCGGGCTGAGTAAATACTTACTGCCTTTCCCAACATTGCTTCTGTGATGTAATTTCCACGCGAGCTTCCTAAGAATATTTCCTTGTTCATTAAGGAGGCAATACTTTCCATGCTTTGTGACACTGACACTATGACCCTACATCCCACTGTTGATCCAAATATCATTCGCCGAATGAATGATGTCACTAAATGAATCTGACTGGGGAATATATAGCCTTATTCCTGTAGTTTAAAAAAAAATTATTTATTTTATTCAACGCATATTCTAGACAAATATTAATTCATTGTTCATTGTAATAAAAATATTTTCTCCTATATGAGCTGACTCTGCGTAGTTTCTCTAATAAAGCTGCTCAGCCCCACGGGTAAGAAATTCAAAACAGTCCTTTCACTTATTTAATCACCAAGAATTGATGACAAACTGAGTAATTCGCGTATTTATCAAATGCACACTAGGTGCCAAGCATCTTTTAAATGCTGCCCGCAGGCCACTCTAAGTGACCAAGGTGCACTTGTTCCTTACCTAACTCCCAGTGCGACAGCGACAGGAGGCAGAGCCTTTGGGAGGTGATTAGGGCCTGAGGGCAGAGTCCTCATGAATGGGATTTGTGCCCTTATAAAAGAGGCCGCAGAGAGTCTCCTCATTCCTTCCGCCATGCGAGGAGATGGCTGTCCGTGAAACTCATAAGTGGAGCCTCACCAGACACAGAATCTCCGGCACCTTGATCTTAAGACTTCCCAGTCTCCAAAACTGTGAGAAATAAGTGTCTACTGCTTTTAAGCCAGCCCGTCTATGGTATTATGTCATCGCGGCTTGAACGGACTAAGGCAGAGATGGTGAGAGCGGCCCCCGGGGAGGCTGTCCTCGCTGCCTCAGCCAGCCAAGCAGAGCGACATAGCCCGGGTCTTCTCAATACCTAGATCGTTGGCGCACAGTATGGCAAACGCGCGCCGTTTTTGTCTGCCCAGCAGCCCATCCTCTGGCTTCCGGCAATAAATCATCAGGTTTCCTATGATGAATTTCCTCATCCTCTCGCAGTTTACATAGCACGCCTGGGCCTGACCCCATCCCTCGCCTTAATAATGGACACAAAAGTCATACCTGGACAGTGATTAATCTGGCAGTTGGCACATGTTTAGGGGCATGTCCAAGAGGTATGCTTCCAGAACTTATGCTTGAACTGCTGGGAAAGAAGTGTGCTTCCCACTGGGTTGACTGACAGCTACAGGCAGCCATCAGTCATTTGACAATAGTTTCTTGAATAACTATGATGCGCTCGTGCTGCTGTAGGCATTAGGGGTCCAGAAACACATAATTCTATTTCTTAGGTTTTCCCCATCAACTTGAAAGGTAAATAAACTTGCCACTTTAATAAAATACGATAATTGTCACATAGATTATTATGTGATCAGGGAAGGGCAGCCGACTCAGGCAAGGCTTCCTGGGAAAGAAAACAGCCACCGACCCTTGTTGGATGATTACGACTTAACCGGGTGAATTGGGGAATGGGGGTAGTTTCAGAAGAGGACGCAGGAAGCGCAAAAGTATGGAGGGGAGGTTCAGCTGGGCGGGCTCCAAGACCCACGTATTCAATCAGTCTGGAGGGTAACACCCTTCCAGGGGAGTGGGAGAAAGGAAGCCAGATGGCCACCTTTTTGGAGTTTTGCTGAAGACTACAAGACGCTTCTAAAAGATTCGAAGCAGGTAAGACACCATCGAGTCAGCATTTTAGAAAAGCACACAAGTCACAATGTAAAGAATGGCCAGACTGCAGGCGGGTGAGCCTTATGAAGCAGTTGCTACCGTCTGCCTTGCAAAAGTCAGTGCGAGCCAAACGAAAGCTCTGGTGGAGGTGGAAAGGTGAGCAGGTGGTGGGTGTCAGATCCAAGAGTGAACACAGAAGCAGAGTAAGTGGGACGCAGAGGTTAACAGGATTTACACAGCTCTAGCCCGGTGATGGGGAGACAGTGATGTCCCTGACCAAAACTGAAATGCATTCTACTGGAAGAAGAGATGTAAATTCAGGTCAGGCCACAGGAAGCTGAGTTGCCTGCAGGACAAAGTACGGGAGGCGTCTCTGTCAGGGAACAGAAATGCCTCAGAAAAGTCTACCAGGACTTACATTTGTGGTGGGTGGTGTTCTTTTGTTTATACATTGCTTCTTTCCTGAAGATTCATCTGCACTTTCATTTGGGTATTCAATCAGCACATGAGTCATCATTAAAATGATAGACATGGATGAGATTGTCAAGAATACAGCTTTAAAAATAAGAAAACAGTAGCTCACGGTAAAAGGCAGAGAAAGAGAAATTGATGGAGAATGAGAGGGCAGTCGGAACAGCATCATGGAAGCCAGGGAAGGAGAGAGTGTCAGGAAGGAGGAAGAGGTAAAGAGAAGAGATACGGCAAGAGACAGGTATCTAAGAACTTGAAAGGGTCCCCTGGATTCCACGGGGTTGGTGGAAAGGTCAGAAAGGAATAGGACAGTAAGGAGGAGTCACGAATGGCTGTCCCTTGGCCAGTTGGCCAGTTGGTTGGTTGATTGACTGGTATAAAATGAGAGACACTCAAACATGTCTACCTATGGTAGAAAGGTGGAAAGCCAGTTAGAGAGACTAGGCCAGAATGATGGGGTTAAGGGGGCGGGGTATGCATACTAATTATATTAAAGAAATTGACTTTATCCATCATTCTATTAAAACATGTTAATGAGACTCCCACAATTTCCAAAGCCAAAAATGACTGAGCTGATGGAAATGAGTTTTAGAAAGCTAAAGACGCACGACACCGTCACCAACAGCGGCTCGTTTCTTTTTTTTCTTTTTTTGTATTTTCTACTCTCTTTGAAACCACAGCCTGGTTTATTTTCGATTGTTTAATTTCTTTCAAGCTGTAGCCTGTAGTCATATCTCTTTCAAGCAATTTCATTTTCCTTAGTGTCAGGCTTTTGTGTCTAGTAGCCCCTCGAAAACCGGCAGTTGTTGGAAAGGCGCTCGTTCCAATCAAAAACCATTTGAAAATAGAAACTCAGGTACGTAAGATGAGCCTATGTGGAACTGCTGCCTTTAAGACATCTTTCCCGAAAGCGGCCGCTGCGCCTAGCAGTATCACATTGTAAGTGGGCCCAGCCAGGAGGATGCTTCAAGTTTCCGTTACAGAAAATCGCAATCTGATAAAGTCTGGTGGGTGGCACGTGAGGTCCATTGCGTAAGGAAAGCCCCCGTTAGCAAACTGGATGTGGAGCAAACTTGATATTGTGTGAAGAGTTGTTCATCGAGGGCAAAGCTCACACCAGGTGAGGAATCAATTACTGGAGAGGTTGGCCTTTCCAACTCATTCACTGTTAGGACACAAACTGAAGCCAGAGTGCCACATGATTCATTGGGATCAAGGCCAGGACCCAAATCCAGATCTCCCGACTCCCCACCCACTATTCATCCATCTTCTCCTAACGTCTGTTTTCCCTGCTGGGCAGCAAACCCCACCAGGACAGAGATCTCTTCCTAGGTATCTCCAGCATAGAGGTGACAACTACAAAGATCTGTTAGTAGGTTAACCACACTCAGGGTGGATCGCTGGTGGTCATTTGCGAGGTTTCATGCAGAGCCGAACGTCAGAGTAAAAGGTCTCAACAGAAAGAAAAAAATCGCCAACCCACAAACACATGGTTTATGAACTCTGAAAATGCCAGAACTCCAGACATGACTTCCAAGGTGGAGACCTTGGGAACAGCAGCTGCAGAGCCACCTCTTGCTAAAGAGATCTGTGCCCGGCTTCATTACTCCTTGGGATGGCAGGCACGCCCCTAGTCATCTACACAGCCTGAGAACAGAAGTTTCCACATTGCTTCTAAATTAGCTTTAACCTACTTGAATCCTCCTTAAAATATTTAACAGGCTCTTTCCTCTCCCCAAAACATCGTAACTGCAAAGCCTCCTTTCATCTTCCCATAAGCAAACCTGCCTAAAAGTTTTATGTAAATTGTGTGTCCTTTTACACACTGGCAATGCATTCCACCCCACAGGGGACAGTACCTGCGGAGTATGCAGGCACGTCAAGGAGTTAGGGCTTAAAAGTGGCATCAGCCACAGTTGAAGTGTGTTTTGTTTGTTTGTTTGCTTTTTTCCAAACAAAACCCTGTGAGGCTCTTCGGTTTGCTGAAAACCATGTGCCGGTTTGATCCTTTCTACTCTGGAGACCAAACGCTCCTCAAATGAATCTGCTCAAAGGGTTTGTAAAGGGAATTGTATTCCCTCTTAGCATTCTTCAGTTTGGGTTTGGTTTGGGTGAATTGGTTAATGGCAAAAATAAGTACTTACATCTTTTGCCCCTAAATCAGGAGTTGCTGCTGCTGCTTCTGTTCTATCCCGTCATGACAGCCTGCTGTTACTCACAGCTGGCAGACACTGTAAACTTGATGCCACGTCAGCCTCCCAGAACCTTTCCACTTCAGTAATAGTTTCCCAACGGAATGATTTTGTGTGTAGGTCCTGAGGCTGGAAACATGATCTGGCGACCATATTGAGAAGGTCTGAGTCAAAGAGGCACTACATGTGATTACAGAAAGAAACCACACACAATCCTTCCTGAGACTAAATAAGAATTCTAGGGAAAACTTAAATAGCATATTGACTTTCTAAATAATCATGACACCAAGTTAGTAACTGCGATCCAAAAAAATCAGGATTAGAAATTGAAAATGTAAAATTTAGAAACTTAATCAGTATTATACATATTAGTTCATGAAAAAAATATGAGCTTAGGATGGCAAAACACTGAAAAAGTAAATGTTCATTAATAGGAAAATGGTTGAAAAGATTATGAGACACTTATGTCATGAAATGTTAAGATATCTAATAACAAATAATAAATTACAGCTCTATCACTTGACCTAGAGGGGTTCCTGTGGCACATTACTAAGCAAAAAAAAAAAAAAAAATTTAAGTATATTATCCTATTTGGGGTTGCTATGACATATTGCCAAGTGAAAAAGTATAATATTATCTCATACGCTATTATATATACATATCAAATAATATCTGATTATATACAAGCATTTATGTATAGATAAAAGTGTATAAAAGATATATACCTGATAGTTAATACTTCCTTTATTTGAGTGAGAAACTATGTAAGGACAGTGGATGGGGGCTACACAATAAAAGGCTACACAATAAAACAGCATTTATTACATTCCATCCCAGAAAAAAATTATCTGTCTGTGAACGGTGTATGTGCTTAAATAGAGACGTATGTATAAGTGTACCAAAGTGTTAATTAGATATCTTAAGGGGGTGAGATTCCAGATGACCTCTATTTTATTCTCTATAATTTTATGTATATTTCAATATATTTTCAAGGAAAAAAATTTATATAAATAGAAGAAACAATAAGCCTGTTTGCATTATGTAAAAATTGTTGGCAAGTGGTAACTTGCCTGAACTCTTGTGCTTTTAAGTCCCTCTGCTGAATCTTAAATAGATCTGGGTTGTTTTCTATGTGTTCCAAATACACTCACGAATTCTAAAGATGTTCTTGTGCTTATCTGGAATGAACAAGCCATGCCAAAGAGAAATGTAGAACACTCTCCCAGCCCAGACTTCACACGGCCCTCCTCCCCTTTGAGATTGATGTCACAGGTGGGTCATATCTCCACCAGCTTCTGTGATGTGCAGTGCAGAGGGAGGGCCCAGAGCACGTGCACACAGAGATGCTGCTGACAGTGCTGTCTCAGATAATGCCTCTAGAGGTGACTCAGAAATCATTTGGGAAAATGCCAACCAAGGAAAAGAAGAAGGGAGTTGAAATTGACTGACCCATCCATGCATTCCAGCAACAGAGCCAGAAACTGAGAATAAGCTCTGACTGATCAATAACCAAATAACTGACAGAAAGGGGAAAATAAACATTTTACATAATCAGAAATGAGAAAAGCACTATGTAGTCACTGGCCACATTTTCTGAATTAAAATGAAGTGAGATATATAAATGTACTTGGACATTCGATTACTTTAATTATAATGACAACACAGAGGGACAAATCATAGACAATTCAATTTGTCCTGTCGCCATCAGGGCTATGTATCAAGCAGATATATGTATGAATCAGAAGGCCTATAGTGTATATATTTATTCGTTTACCCTGGAATGAGAAAGCTCTCAATTTTAAACTTAAATAGGGAAAAGATCTGATTTAGGTAAAAGTTTTCAATTAAAGAACTGTTTTAAAAATAGCTGTTAAAAAATAAATGTTGTTCTTTTACTTTCAACTACAAAAATAATCCAAAGTACAGTTCAAATGTTTTTATCCTAAAAGGATCTTTAATTCAATCCATCATTTTAGATAGATATAATTAGAGATTCAGAGAGGTTAAATAACTTGCCCAAGGTCACGCAGTGGAACTTAGGACTCTGGCTCTCAGAGATCACCCCACGACATCATGCTGTAAATATTAAAAATAGATCCTGGCTGACCTTAGTTGTCATAACTAAAGAAGACACTCATAATTACCATATTCTTGCTTTGTATGCAAAGAGCACATTCTTAGGTGTATGCAAAGAATAGTTCGATATGACCTGCATTTGCCATCTTACCTTATGATTAGTTTACTCTCCTTTATCTTATTAATAATCACTCAACTAGATGAAGTGAAGGATACAAATGGACTTCCATAAAAAGCGGAACGTAAATAAACGCCAAACATGTGATGTCAGCAATAAACGCTACGACAGCTCAGGAGAGGAAAATACACTTAAGGTAATTTTGAGAAGGGCGAAAAAAGAAATCAACATGGAAAGATAGGAAAGACTATTCAAAATATGCAGTTTCTTACCCAAGAACATTTCTACTCTTCAGGCCATTATTGACGATATTGGGCCTTAGTTTACCTGGGACTTGTGACCTCTTTCCAAAGACAACCGAGCAGTCTCATTTTCCACACACTTCCTTTACTTCAAAAGAGACACGTGTAGAATGGGCGCGAAAAGCATAGATCCAGATATTCATACGCTTGCATTTTCCTTGACTCAGACATCTTGGGTAAATTGAGGGAGTTACTAAACGCGTCTGCATCTAACTAAACAACGGAATAAAAGTGGAAAATACATTAACTACTACGCTCCCAAATACATACATTCTGGGTCTCGTAGACACATACTTTCCAATACCATCGGGAGGTTGAAGATATTAGTTCAGACTTCGCTGAACCAAAATCCACAGCAAAAAGCAAGGACAAACATTTCTTGAAAGAGTTTTAAGCTCCACCTCTTAAACTAAATTACGTATATACGACAGACCAAAAATCCCACATTGACCCACAGGACAAAGAGTCGGTGATCAGAAAGTAACTTGAATTCCCCAGGAAAGATTACACGAAAGGTGGAAAGCCCGTCTTCGAGCTCAGGTGGCCCATCACAAGTTAAGCGTGTGGGTGCTGAAGCCACATTGCCCAGCTGGGTCCTAACTCTGCCACTCTCTCGGTCCACTGGGTCTAACAGTGACTATCTCAGGGGTTGTTGTGAAGAATTGAACCATTATAGGTAAGCATTTAGCAAAGGGCTTTAGTAACGATTATTTTTTTTTATTAAATATATTGGGGGTAACATTATTATTATAAAATATTTGTCGATTGCTTACAATGTGCCAGGCTTTGGGCTAAGTGTTTTTCACATATAATTGTATGTAATCCACACAGTAGCCCTATAGAGTAGCTCCTATTATACTTTTTTTGGTAACAAATGAGAAAACTGATGCCCAGAGAGGGTGAGCAATTTGCTCAAAGTCCCACGGCTAGCAAGGATAGAACCAGACTCTGAATCCAGAGCTCGTGTCAATCAAAAGTTTGAACTTTGAATCACCGATTATACTTCCTCCCAAGTCAGCAGTTCACAAACACACAGCAGAGACCCATTCCTTTGTTCGTGCCTTCACGTACTCGTTCATTTACCGAGAGCTCGCGGTGCGCCAGGTACTGTGCCTGGTGCTATGGATCCAGACGTGGACTAGGCCGACCAGAAGGGAAGCACCTTCACGAAGTGCACATGCTAGTGAGGGAGCCAGCCAAGCAAACTGAACTATCCGTCATGTAACAGCAGACAGTGGTGAGCGCCGTGAAGAAAATAAGGACGAGTCAGAGGACAGAGAGCGTCAGTGTCGGGACGGGAGGCGATTTCCGGCAGAGTGGTCTGGGAGCACTTCCTGAGAAGGGGAGACGGATCCAGGGAGGGGTGTCCCCTGGCAGGGTCTGGGACTAAGTGTGACAGGCAGAGGGAACTGTGAGCACAGACATCTGGCGGCAGCAACGACCTTGGCCTACTGAGGAGTGAGAAGGCCAGAGGTACTGGAGCGAGGTGTCTGGAGAGAAGAGGTGAGGAGCGTCTCAAAGAACAGGAATGTGATCCACCAGGAAGATGAGGCAGGGCTGCCAGGCAGCGCTGACAACCCACTTGAGCTCTGCCTTCATGAAATTAAGACCAGTCAGGCGCTGTTGTGTTTTTCTCCAGCCACAGGCTGAGATATGGAGCCTGAGGTGCCGATGAGAATAAGTGAATAGAGTATCCGCCAGGTTGGGGGTTTGCCAGCTGAAGGCAGCAGAGGGGGCGTGAGGCAAGGAGGTTGAGCCTGGGTCATGGACACAGATTGGGTGAGGTGCAAGGTGAGGCCTGGGGGCCACGGTGGACAGTGAGGCAGGGTAGGGATGATGGACGGGTGGACCCGATGAGTCGGAGTTGGGGCTCTAGAGGGAACGAGCTGGAAGTCAGGGGGTGGTGGTCAGAGTGCGAGGCCAGAAGTCAACATCTGGGGCGCGATACTAGTCATGACGAACACCAGTGGTACTAGAAGGGTGGTGGCCGGAGTGGGAGAAGGGGTTGTTGGAAGGAGCGGGGATCAGGATCCGAGAGGCCGGAATTTTACCTGGATCACCTACACCAGTGGCCTCAAACCTGGTCACATACTAGAATGACCTGGGGGGCTCTTAAAACATACACAGGCCTCCAACCCCCAAAGATTCTGGCTCAGTTGGTTGGGAGGTAGAGGAAATGGTGCCTGGGTTTTTTGGGGTTTTATTAAGCTTCTCAAATAATTTTAAAGCGCAGCCAGGACTGAGACTGATCTCAGTTGGCCCGACCACCAGGACAGAAGTGGTGGCAAAGAGGGTGACCGAGGCAGCAGGGCTCAGGGCCTCGCTGGATGAGGAGCACGGGCTGGTGGGTGACAGCAGCATGGGAGGCCAATGGAGATTTGCTGGCCTGATCTTCGAAGCTGATGAGGAAGGATCGGGGAAGAACAATGCTCTGAGAATGGCCGCAAGGAGCACGAATGACGCCTACCTCACCGTCAGGTCCCAGGACTCCCGAGGAGTGTCCCCAGGTCCCCAGGAGGGAGTCAGGGCAAAAAAGTTGAGGGGGGCTGTCAGAGAAGATGCTGAGGACAT